CATCCCCACAGATTTTAGGTTAGTTTGATTATTAACTTGATAGATGTATAGTGCTTTTTGTGTTTGAATAAACTCTATAGGGATAGTATCTTCGCTTATGGGTTGAGAAATTCATTTTGCGCGTCATGATGTAAGCTTTTCATTTAAACGCATTTTAAGCATTGTGGTTTAAAAACTAATTTAACTGTTCAGGGACATTAAGCAGTGGGGCAGAATTCATTTTGGCAAATGCGCGTGTTAAGACGGTTTCTGATACGCACGGAGCGCACTTGCTCGTACAGCGCCTGACTGGAGTTATTTTTCGCGCCTTGTGTTTAAACGTTCGAACACACATAGTTATGTGTCAAAATGCCTGTCTCCGACCTCGTCAACACAGTTATTTGTGTCTTAAATTAACGTTAATAGTTAATGATAAAGCATGTGCACTAGTTGGCTATTATGCGATCCTGGCATTATATGATGAGATTTTAAAGGGATATAGTTCACCCAAAAATTAAAATAATGTCATCATTTACTCAGTTTCAAGTTGTTCTGAACCTGTATGAATTTCTTTGTACTCCTCAACATAAAAGAAGATATTTTGAAGAATATTCGTAAGTTGACCACCAGAAAGTTTCTGGTCCCTGTTGACTCCAATAGTGTTTTTTTTTATACTATGGAAGTCATGGGGGCACAGAAACTGTTTGGTTACCAGTAGGCTATTGTTCCAAATATAAGCGTTTGCATTCAACAGCAGAAGGAAACTCATACAGGTTTAGAACAACAACACCATAACTTTAATTTTTGGGTGAACTATTCCTCCAAAGCAGCCTAATATAGCTGCTGTTGCCATTTGTGTCAATAATGTAAATTATACATTAGAAAGAAAATCCCTCACTGTCCTTGACCGAATCGCTTTTGTAAAATAATGTATATTGAATTGACGCAGTGAAGACTATTCAGTCTATTTGTAGTCTATTTATTTTATTCAATATATTTCTTATTCAGTGCTTTAAGTGTTAGCAGGTCAATTTCTTTGTTCTATTGTAATTCATGACTGTTTACTTGTCTTCAGTAAGTTTGTTTTTACATAGGCTAGTATTTTTTATTTTTTATATATTGGAATTGGTAACAAGAATTATGAAACTCTGATTGGATAAAAATCCGATTTTAAGCTATATCATTATTGTGACGGGGGGCCCTGCAGTAAGTCATAGCCCTGGGGCCCAGTGAGGTCTTAATGCGGCCCTGGTTACCATACGTAACCGAGACGTTTCCCAGACTGACACATCTGCAGTGTTTTCACAGCGCTGAAGTGTGTTTCCTCTGCCGAGGATCGTGGTAATGGGACATACATCTTTGATTCCAACGCAGCCAAAACACAGAGAAATAATGAGGCATCCTCTCCACTAAAGACCAATTACTGCATTCAGAGGGCAGTTTCTCACGCAGTCACGCCCAAAAAAAGAAAGAAAGAGACAGACAGACAGAATGTGGCTTGAGTCCCTTTGGCCAAAATAAAGAGTCATTAGCGGCTGAAACCGTTTCTCTCTCCGTCTGTCCACTTCAGTCATTCAAGTAATTACTACATCGAGGATATGATCCATGAAGCACTTAATAAATCAGCCAATCTGAGCTTAACTAAAACGAAATGTATGACAGTTGTTACCTGCATATGCAAATTACTGTGACATTTTCAATAGGCTTCTGTTCTCTTTCTTTTAAAGACTTGTGTTGTTATTTGTCCGCCCATTTGATTTCTCGGTGGATTTGTCTGTGTGTGCGTGTGTGTATGAGACAGTCAGTCAATAAAGAACAGAATGGGAAGAACCTAATGAGAGAAATTCATTTAAAATTTAATTTAAACCTAAAAGGTAATTTTAAGAGAAAAACACTCAGTAAATAAACACTCAGAGACCTTGGGGGTTTTTGAAGGTACTTTTGATTTTCTGTTTTCCTGAAGTGCACCAACTAAAAGCAACATTGTTCCAAAAATCAGTAAGATACAATAAAATTTTTTGCAGCAAATCAACAAACATCTGCTCTAATCAGGGTGCGATTTGTGAGCAAACCAGAAGGGGGGGGGTGTGTTTTGAAAAAAAAAAAAAAAAAAAGTGTTTCCTCTTGAAAATATATCACAAATCACAGTGGAGCTATAAATATACAGATTATTTTTGGCAGCTGTTAAAAGAAACATTTTTACAATAAATATTCTGATTTGACCTTGAGATTAGCTTCGATATTTGACCACTATTTATAGTAATACTTGGTTACAATGACACTAATAGTTCTTATTTCTACCAGGAATACAAAATCAATCGTGAATCAATGACAACTTGAATAAAATGACACAAACCTATTCAATCGCGTTTGCGTTCATTTATTTTTGATCAGTGCTTTGCTACACAACATACAAACTTTTATTCCAAAAGTGCGCACATTGTGCATTCACACGTTTACCTCACATTTCTTTAAAAAGAATAGAACAATAATTTCTTAATGACTCGCAGAAAGACGATTCTCTGCCGATCCAGCAGTCAATATTGCGTGATCATAATTCCCACATTACGGTGACGGTAAACTTCTGCATTCAGTCTCATAATACATTTATGCGTCAGTTTATTATATACAATATCTGCATTAGGTCACAGTAGAGTGAGTTTTGAGCAAAAACATTGTGTATTAATCTCATTCTGTCACGCGCTCTGACTTTCTGAAAAGCACTGCATGGATTAAGACACGTGAACCAGGATCACGAAACCCAGATGGTCTCTTAAGCGGGAGTGCTGACAGTTAAAGTTCATTTTTGATTTTATTGTTGTTTGTATTTTCATGTTGCAGTATTTTACGTAAAATATTTTTAATTTTGGTATTTTATATGCTCTGTTGGTGGGGTAGCATCACCCACAGAGATATTTTTTTTAATCCCCACCAGGGATTAAATTTGTATTTTACTCTTTAAAAAAATTGCTTGGCAAAATTTCATATAATTTATACATTGTTGTTAAATTAATAATTTATACGTTCTATATTTACTATATTAACTCTAGAATTTCTCTGGCACTACTGTACTTAAACTTGATATTTTTTTTCTTACCGTGCTTCACATTTGGCAAATGATCCCTTTGCGTCTTTTCCACAGTTTCCATACGGATCTCCCGCCGAGTTGACTCTTTCGAAACAGATTCCTGGAGCTGGTTTTGCACCTGTTAAACACACACAAGGTTCTTCACATATATTGAACACACAGATGAGGTATAGACAGATGCAGTAGCTGTTCCTCCAGGCCTTCGGGTGGCGCTGTCCTCACCCTGTCCCCACAGGGTGATGCACTGCTGCTCGTGCGTCTGGCAGATGCCGTTGTAACAGTGTCCATCCACACCTTGACAGTTGTGTCCGTCGTGCAGGTAGACATTAGCGGGACAGTGGGGATCGGCACCTGTGCAAAACTCCGGCAGGTCACAGGAGTTACTGGACTCACGGCACGGAGTCCCTGCAGGCTTCAGCTACACAACAAACACATCATGAAATTTGGCACATATATTAATACTATAAAATATAATATTAATATGGCAATTACACAATGCAGTCCTTTCAGTCAATACAAAATAGTTTACTTTTATCTTAATTTATTAATGTTCCTGGTTTTATTGTGAATGATTCCTCAGTCCATGTCCATGTTCTAAAGAATAAAAAAAATTGATTGCTTTAGAATAATATGCACTTTTACTTACTTATTTTGTTTGGTTATTTAGGCTTACAGTGTTTTAATAGCCAACTTTTGATAAGATTATTACTATTTGCAAACATACAAACACGAAAAAGATACACATTGAAAAATAAAGCAATGAAAACAGAGACTTGATTTAAGAAAATATTAACTTAAGTAAAATTTGTAAAACATTTTCAAGTTAATATTTAATTTAATATTTTGCATAATATTTTACATTACATTAAATAACATTTATTATATATTAAATTGTTATAAAATAATTTAACATTTAATACATTTTCTGAATCAATGTCATCCTTAAGCTAATCTCATTCATTAATTTTGCTGCACATTTTTAATTTAAGTACATAAAATTAGCAAGGTATTAAAGAGTCAACAAATAAAGTGGATTACGATGAACGTCAAAAGTTACCTGACAGTCTTCACAACACTGTCCATGTGCACATACGGCCTCCTGTTTCAGTGTGCATGTACTGGCATTACAGCAGGGATTCAGACACTCCTACAGAGACAGAGATTTAACACTGATAATAGCAGAAATGTTTCTTGAGCAGCAAATCAGCATATTAGAATGATTTCTGAGGGATCATGTGACACTATGCTTAAAATTCCGCTTTGATCACAGGAATAAATTACGTTTTACAATATATTCAAATAGAAGAGTTAAATTACAATAACATTTCATAATTTTACTGTATTTTTTATCAAATAAATGCGGCCTTGGTGAACAGAAGAGACCTCCTAAAAAAAAAAATTATTTTTTCTAATTGAGATGTGACTCAAGTATATTTGCATAAGAGTACGAAATAATTTCCCAGATGCTTTCCTCTGACTGCTGGCTATGTGGAAATTCATAAATTGTACATGAGCATTGTTGATGGATGCACAGACACAATGTACGTTTTTGCTATGCATTCTTCACTGCCAGCAACATTTCAGCAAAGACATCAATGAACAGATTTAAACCCTCAGGAAACACCTGAAGCACTCAGACACTAACAAAAGCTTTTCTCTGCGGTCCTCGCAAAAACTCCTGGTCCAACGTGACAGATGCATCTCATTCTTGTGCTTCTTCTCACAGCATGGTCGCAGAAAACACTGGGCTGTTTATTTCGCTCGCCGTGAATTTGGAGGAGCGACTGCTAATGATGCACGACTCACTGGAGAGTTTGAAAATCGCAGCACATATGCGGCGCTTAAGGGAAACGTGTAAATGTCGGCATGAAATGAGTTTTCAAAAAACAAAACACACACACGAGCTCTGACGTACCTCCACATCTCCGCAATCGCACTGCTCTCCCTCCTCGACATATCCGTTTCCACATTTCTGGCCTCCGTAGAGCACCTTTACCTCCGGCATGTTGAACAAACACATGCCCACACCTTTCTCCAAACTCGCAGCGAGATCCTTCTTACTGCATGTACTGAAGACTGTAGGGAAAGGGTACCTGAAAGAAATCAGATATATTACCTCAGTGATGATTTTTAAGAAAACTGACTGTTCAGTTTTGTGACAATCAACAGATGCACACATAAATGGACCAATCAGGCAGTGGAAGTCTTGCCAAGGAAATGACATCACCCTATAAGTGCTGACTGGCATGAGGACCAATGAAATGAGTCCCAGAGGAGAGAACAGCAACAGATAAGAGATATTTATAAGTCCTGCGTTTGTAAGAAATCACACTGACTGGATTCACCAGATTGTAAATTGGAGGCAGCGGGAAATGTGTGTGTGTGCAGGACACTTCATATTACACATGGTTTCAATTGGATTGAATTATCCAACAAACCAAGATTCTAATAGACTGATTTGTGTTCATTTGTAGTGTTTGCTTACACAAATATCACTATTACAACCTAGAAACCACACAGCAACGTACACACACAAAAACACATTAGCAGCTGCCTCGTAACACCCTAGCAACCACCAAACCAACATTCTAAAAACCACTCAGTACAGCTATAGCAACCACTCACAATGCCCTCACAATGGCATAGCAACATGTTAAAAAAAAACAAAACACTCTGAACACAACAGCAACCAAGTCAAGACACCTTTATTTGAATAGCGCTTTATACAATACTGATTGTGTCAAAGCAGCTTTACAGTGTCAAACAGTTTGGCAATTATGGAAGACAATAACAAAGTGTCATTTTTCCCAGCTAAAGCCAGTTCATTGAGGATTCAGTGATGTTCAGCTCTCTTCCAGTAGTGTCTGTGCAATCAGTCAAGCGTCCCCAGCTAAGCAAGCCAAAGGCAACAGTGGCAAGGAACCAAAACTCCATCGGTGACAGAAATGGAGAAAAAAAAAACCTTGGGAGAAACCACATACAGTAGCAATGCCCTAGCAACATTCTAGAAACCACTCAGTACAACCATAGCAACCATCCATAATGCCTGGGCAATGGCATATCAACACGTTTAATAATACTCAGAACACAACAGCAACCACATAGCAACGCCCTAGTAACTAACCAACCACCAACATTCTAAAAAGTACTCAGTACATCATAGCAACCACTTTTAATGCCCTGAAAGCAGCACAGCAGCATATTAAAAAAACACTTAGAAGGCCACAGCATTCACATAGAAACACCACAGCAACCACCTATACAACCCTCTACATTGCGAGTAAATCACTCGCATATGCGACTAAATCTTACTCTGGGCGACTAAATGATGTCTAATATTAGCCAATGGCTAATAAATTCTCAGATTTTACTCGCCTTTTCCCAAGTGGAAGGTGCTCTAGCATTGTTAATGGTTTTTGCTACTGCCTCCTCTAGCTCATGAGAGATGGACTGAGCAGAGGCCAAACCCAAAGTTGAAACATGGCTGGACTCGGGTGCCAAATCTGACCCTCTACCTGAGTGAGAAGGTCTGCTCTGATTTGTAATGGCCAGGGATGGCCTCGTACTAGACGTAAAAGAAGCGGAAACCAATGTCTCATTGGCCATCTCGGTGCAATCAATACAATCCTGTAATGACCCAGTTCCACACGGTTGAGCACATGAGGAATCAATGGCAGGGGGGGGGAAAGCGTATAACAATCCTCCCGGCCACTCGTGAGACAGTGCATCCACTCCCAAAGGTCCACCCTGGCTGCTCATCGCAAACCACATCTTGCAATGAGTTGTCTCGGCTGATGCAAACAGATCGGTATGAGCTCTCCCAAACAGGTCCCATATCAGACCTACCACCTCTGGATGCAGGCGCCATTCCCCTGGGGAAGGCCCTGTTCGAGAGAGGAGATCGGCCGCCCGGTTCACTACTCCCGGTATGTAGATTGCCCTGATTGAGGCGAGTCTTGGATGGGCCCAAAACAGAAGTCTCCTGGACTCCCGGAGGCAACGCAATGACCTGGTGCCTCCCTGATGATTGATATGGTAAACTGCTGACATGTTGTCGGTTCTCACCAGGATATGCTTGTCTTGCAGAAAAGGAATCAGTCGTTTCAAGGCCATGTAAACTGCCCTTAACTCTAACACATTGATATGTTCCATGTTCCAGGGAAACGCCCATGAGCCCCTCACTGTTCTGCCTTGCCAGACAGCCCCCCAACCAGTCAGAGACGCATCTGTTGTCACCACCATCCTCCTTGCTGGTATGTTCCCCAGAGGGACCCCTTGGCCCAATTTTTTTTTGCTCAACCAGGGGTGCAAGGCCTGAATGCATTTCCGTGTTACCTTCAGTCTCACTCGCCTGTGTAATTTGGGGTGGAGTTGAAACTTGTTGATCCACCACTGTAGTGGTCGTGCTTTGAGCAACCCAAGAGGCACTACTTTTATTGCGTGCATCAACCTTCGATGACTGGACTCCACTATTGGAGGCTACCGGTTTAATAAACCGGGCCCTTTGCACCCTTTCTTGCAGAGAGAAATTTACAGCAGCCGGACATGGATCTTCAATGTCCTCCAGTAAATGAGCCATTCCCAAACATGATGGACATTCCCGGTGACCATCACGAGGATGCAAAGTAGCATGACAGTAACAGCATAATGGTTGACTCATGATTGTTGAATATCCAATACAGCTGCGTACAGCCGTAACACAAATAACACACAAAATATAAATACCTTACTCCTGCGAACAGGAATGTGTTACTAAGTAATGTGTGTAAACACAACCAAAGCCAAATAAAACTTCACTCAATCCACTGCAACCAGTAGTATCACAGTGCAAGCATATAAATTCTCAGTTTGTTCAGTCAAAAAGACAAACTAGATCAATTAGGAGGTACCGACACCTATTCTATGCGCGAATGCACAGATCAACAGGTGGGAAAATCCCCCCGCTGCGAACAGCGGAACCAAACAAAACAAAAACAAAAAAATCCTCCTTTAGTTTTATGAATAATAGCACAAAAACAAACTACTTGCCAATCCATATGCTTCCAAAAGCACCAGAATACAATCTGTAAACAAATATCAACTCGTAATTCAGAATAATATAAACAAACACCACTTACCTAAATATATAGGGAAAAAAAGAAAAATTACCGCAATCCTCAGGGGCACCAGGCGCCTGCACTATAGTGACGGATTGAATGGGTAATTTTCCAATATCAGCGTATACGCGCAGATTCTCCGAACCGGTCTCTGAAGAGGCGAGAAGGCAAAGAGGAAGTGCTTTGTTCACCCGGATGTTTTACAGTGAACCAACCACTCAGGGTCAGTCACCTGACTTTGTTTACATTAGGTCTCAGAAGGGTAGCAGAATGGCTTCATTCAAGGTAAGACCGTGGTGACGGTCTGAGTGAGGTCGAAATAGATCTGCTTTCGCGCTCTGGCTAGCGCGAGCCAGATAAAAATATAATCTGACGACATGTTTTTATTGATATCATATACAGATTGTGTAGGTAACTATAAAGTTTACTCTGCACTTCTCCCAGTTTACCGGAGACCTAATTTAACGTGTTTCAGGAGGAGAGGATGAATTTGCGTTTTGTAAATCCCACAGCTCGGATTAGCCAATGGCGATTCAATTGCCAAGGTGTCCGTAGAGGGCTGCTATAATGCCCTGAGAGTAACATTACATGTTATGAATGCTCGGAACACCAAAGCAACACCATAGCAACCACCCACATGTTAAAAACATTTAGAATACCATAGCAATCACATAGCAACACCCTATAATTAATAGCAACATGATAAAAACATTTCAAACGCAATAGCAACTCCCTCGCACTCACATGTTAAACACCCACACAACATAGTAAACACCCACAATGCTAAGGAACATAGCAACATGTAAAAAAACACTCAGAATGCCATAGCAACTGCCTAGCAACCAGCCACAAACATTCTAAAAACACTTAAAACACCAAAGCAACTCCCTAGTAACCACTCACAACATAGCAACCACCCACAATACACAGGCAATAAAGCAACATTAAAAACTACTCAGAATGCAACAACAACCACATTGCAACTGCCTAGCAACCACCCACAAACCTTCTAAAAATCACATAGCAACCACCATCCAACCTTGTTGAAAAAAAACAAAAAAAAAAACAACAACAGCATATGCTGGCTAGGTAAGTTTTGAAACATGGCAGCTGGTTTAAGCTGGTCCTTAGTTGGTTTAAACTGGTTGAGCAACTAGCTCCTGCTCAGGACCAGCTCATAACTAGCTCAGGACCAGCTTAAACCAGCTCAAACCAGCTGCCATGTTTCAAAACATACCAAACCATCATTTGCCGTTTTCTTTTCCAACAGCATTGTGGAAGCGAGTTTTGAATGCATTTTGATGTAAAACTCTAGTTCTTAAGTAGTTTCCCACAAGACACAGAAACACTTCCATGCATGGTGGAGATGATTTCACCTCAATTACACACACACACACACACACACACACACACACACAGACACACACAGTAAAAGTGGCCCACAAATCCACTCTGAATATCATTGCTCCCCTGTGGAGTGTAACAAAATGTTTCGCCGTAGCATCTACATGACAAAATCCCAAGTTTACAAACATCCCACCAGTCAGAGAAATTACAGAGACAGAGACTCTTTCTGACTGACAGCGATGTAAAAGCTCCCAGAGAGAAGCATATGGCACATATTACGAGACTGGCTGATGAGCTCATGATCGTGAACACCATCTGTTGTCAGGGAGGGTTTTTGGGAGGATTTAGTGATGCTGATCGCAGGACTCGATGCAGGTGTGAATCATTACAGTCAGCCGATTTCATTAACACACTGAACGCTACATCACTAAACATCCTGATGAATTAAATCAGTATGATTGGTTGAGTTACAACGTATGCTATAGATCTGGAGGTTGAGTATTGAGCTTTATTGTGCTGTACACCCAAAGCACTTTACAATCATATGAGGGATCTCTCCTCATCCACCACCAGTGTGCAGCATCCACCTGGACGATGTGATGACAGCCACAGGACAACGGCGCCAGTGCGCTCACCACACACCAGCTACA